GGTGTGTTAGCCTCTCCCCCCAGTTTAGTATCATCAGCAAACTTGCTGAGGGTACAGTCTGTCCCTTCCTCCAGGTCATTGATGAATACATTGAACAAGACTGGACCCAGGACTGACCCCTGGGGGACACCGCTAGCCACAGGCCTCCAACTTGACTCTGTGCCATTCACCACAACCCTCTATATAATAATGAAAGAATAAATTATGCCCAAGAAACAGTGTGATATTTTGCACTGTTTTGCCTGGGTAGAATAAACAGAAGCTGTTTTTATACAACAGCTTTGTGCGGTCATTCCACGCAGGGGCAACCAACAGCAGAGGGGCAAAGGCCACAACAATAAAACCCAATGCCAGTAAAGCTGCCAGACATGTTAGCTCCGACGCACCACGTATATCTTCAAAGCCACTGTAGTGCAACAGTCTCTGGGAGCACTGGTCATTCAGGAAAGCAGAAGCGGGAGAGGGGGAGAGAACAGTCAAAGAAGCACCTGCTGCTATGTGGAGCTACAGTAAAAGCCAGGTAAAACCTACGTGCTTTGGAGAGAGACTAATCTCACCTTTCTCCCCTGGCAGAATGACAAAAGGGGGAAAGAAGGCTGGAGGGTCACAGAGACAGCTCATAGAGGAGAAAAGCCCTGGAGAGCTCTGATGTGCTTTGACCAGTGCCAGCCTGGGCACGTCCAGGCAGCACATGGGTGTCACGGGGCAGAGACTCTGCTATGAGCTCACATGTCTGTGCAGGTTGACATGGGCTGTATGAAATAATTCACTCAAGTCTAGGAAGCAGCCTTGCTGTTGCAGAGCCCTGTGTGCACAACAGCTCACCAGGGCTGATTAACCTGAGCACAGCATGAATGATACTGTTGAATTGCCCCAGGCCCAGGGATGGCTCACGCAGAGCACGTTTGGATGTCTCCACATCTTCATACTGTGTACATTAAACATCTAAGAATCTGCTATGCTGAAATATGCATGAAAGCATGCAGCTTTCAACTAGCTAAAACAAAGTGTTGATTTAAGATCAACGATACCACTGGATTATCTTCAACTATCTTACTCTTTGCTCCTTTTCTCCTCTTGGAATCATATGGCTAATTTTATCGGCCAATTCCTCCCTCCTTTCCAATTACAAAGTTATTTCTGTTTAGCTTGAAGGATGCTGTTTGTTTTTTTTTTTTTAAATTTAAGAAATTAATTTTATCTTCATTAAATTTTTTTTCATCAGATATTAACAGTTCATTGGAAGTCTGATTTTATTATCAAGTGTCTTGAAACCTCTTTGATTGCACTTTTGCAATTTACTAAATGAGAATATTTCTAGTGGAGAAACTGAAACATTTTGCTTTGATAAATGCAAAATGATATATATGTTTTCCAGATTTGACCCAACTTCATAAAAGTATCTGTAGATTTCAGATTGGATTTTGATTACTATCTGAAAATAAAAAATCACCTTACTTCAATACAGTAAATGGAATTCATTCAGTGGTATGCAAATTAATTATCTACATTTTGCATATGCTGAGCATTTAGCCAGAAGTATACAAAAACTTAAGCATCATTAAATTGAAATATCTAGGTGTGGATGTTTAACTTAAAGATGCTAGTGATCTTTGAAAAGTATCACTTCCATGTGTGACAAAAGATTTGCCACAAACCTTGACAGACCCTCCTGTGGAAAAAGACTTAGTATAAATATTTTTAAGCAAGATTCATTCAAAACATAGTGTGTGTTGTACTAAATAGATTACCTAAGAACTAGATGCTGCAAGCAGGTCCCTACCTCTGAAAACCAAGTACTATTATTTCCCCCATTAAAAGTATTCTTTACATTCTGCAAGGCTTCAGAGAAATGGTGTATTTCGTCACTTTTATATATTTTTGTCACACTTTTTGGGTGTATCCATTCAGATACCAGTTTATTCAAAATGTCAGTGGAGACTTCTGTTAACCTCTGCTAAGGAAACTATAGAAAAAGTTACAAAGATATATAATTATTTTTAACTTAGCAACATAGAGATTTATACACAAAAGTCTAATGTTTCTCTCCGTTGCCTTTGTAAAAATAATTCCCAGATAAATAATTCCCAGATCTACAACAAAGAAATGCAAGTATGAATTGAATTATTTTTCTTGCCTTTTTTTTTCTTTTCAGTTATAAATCATTTTAGTGGAGGGAGGAAAAAATTGTCCACATGTCGCATGACTGCTTATAGAATTGAACTTTCATTTTGACTCTCCTTTTCTAATGGCTTTACTAATGCAATTAATTGGATTTGATGTCACTAAGCAAAAATAGCATTTATAAAATTCATATTTAACATGTCTTCCTTCACAAAATAATCTCTTGGAAACTGCATGAACAGAAGGAATGCATCATTTAACCAAGTTAGTAGCCATTGTCCCATTCAATTTCCAGCTGTAATCCCATAAAGATTAGCTGCAACTGAGATTTTCATCCAGTCAGTACTCCTTCCTAATCCAGTTGTTAGACGCGTAAGGTCACTGCCCATGGTTTTATACCTGTTTCCTCCTGCAATTGCACCAAGGTAAATCAAGTAGTTGAAGAAGATATTGTGGTATCAGAGAGATCCCGCAGTCCGGCAGCCAGCATCACAAAAGAGAAGAAAGTTTCAAAAGAGCATTGTACCAACCTTGGGACCAACCATTCCACTTCCCCTAGGCCCCGGGGGTCCTGGATAGCCTTTCACGCCACGATCTCCCTGGAAATAGTCACACTACTGTCAGTAATTTGATCACCTCTTAAGTGTTACATCTGCTTAACATATTACATTATACATTCCTGGAAAAATCCAGGATGAAGCAATCAATCAGTCAAACTATTGAGCTTAAAAAGCAAACAAATGTTACATGGATAAAAAATGTTCTACAGTTGCAGTAGAAATAAAAAAACCCAAATGTATACATCCACATTACTTAAGCTCTAGATAAGGAACACTGTATTCCTAATAAAAGGTCCATGTGATCAAAATCACCACTACAGTTATTGTTATAATTTGCAACTTTATCAGCCACAGAAGAAAAAGGAAAGAAAAGCCATTTGGAAACCAGGCCATTCTTCTAACACGTTCTGCAGGGTCTTACCAGGATGGACTGGAAGCTTACTGGTAAGGCACAGCAGTAGCCAGGCCCTTGTATCCATAGCGTACTTGTTCTGAAACTACAGACATTTAATTTCCCAAACTGACGAACTACTGTGTTTATGAAGAGTTAATTTTAATAGCATGGATATGGGAGAAAAGAGGAGTCCTCCTTTTGTTTTCCTAAAAACCTTTAATGGTCGTAGAATTTATAAACATTTTTAGTTTGATTTCTTAAGAAAATGAGGGTTGATACCATGCCTGTGTTTCTGCAGGTCTGTGTTAGTCCTTCTGCCCATCCTCCCAGTATTTCAGCCAAATTCATCAGAAAGGTAGAGGCCTTGAGGATATTCATTTACCACAGTTGTGGTGACAATTTGAGGCTTGGTAAAGGAGAGAAATCCAATTTATGTTTTCAGAGAGAAGAAAGCAGAGAAGGCTCATCCCTTAACCACCAGGCAGTTACAAGTCAGCAGGCGGCTAGCCAGGGCGAAACGTGGGTAATGCTGAACCACGCGCTGCCCCTTGGGCTGCAAACAAGCCAAACACAAGCAGATAGAGGGAAGGCACAGGGACATCAGAAGCAGCTTTGTTTTCCAAAATGCAAAACTGTACAAATGAAGGAATAAGTGCACGTTCAGCACATTATCACTAGAAAACTCTCATCAGTTTGAAAAGAAAAACAGTGACTAGTAATGGGATCAGTTGTAGAAGCAGAAAATTCTGAATCATGTTTAGTAAGAAAGATTGTTGAATCTATGTCTATACAGGCACATACAAGCGAAAGAAAGAAATGTGCTGATAAAGTACTAATCATCCAGCATATTAACAACAGAGCCAAGAAGAGACTGTATTTCCTGACAAAACAAAAATTTTCATTGACAAAACCCAGTGAGCCGTTAAGATGTAAGTACACTTATTTCTACTTGCTTTTGTACTCAGGAAAGCTCAGAAAATGGATGTGCCTGCAGAGGGAGCATTCTAGCTGTAAGAGAGGTGCAAGTATGAACTACACAGGCCACAGACGACACTTGCCCATTTGTGGTGGGTTGAAAGAAAGAGCGTATCAAACTGATTGAGTAGGAAGCAAACAAAAGTGCAGAATCTTTTACTGACTTCCCTTACTTTCCAAGAGGAATTGTGCAATTTTCACATTATAATCTAGCTTATAATGTGTTTTTACGTAAAATGCCCAAGATCCAACCTTTACTGAGAGATCACTTTAGGCTAGATTTTCTGTATATGGCTATGATACTGTCTTTCTAAGCCAGTGATATCTGTGCTTTATGTATCTCTCTCTCTCTCTATATGTATATCTATATATATGCATATCATGGCCTAGACTATGCTCAAATTTGACCGATTTGGAGATATGGGAACTCTGAATTCAAATGCTGAGGCTTAGATTAAGCTTTATAATGCTCTTTCCTTCTTGATGCAAATTTTGGCTTCTGTTTCTATTTCTTATTCCCCTTTCTCCCAAAGCACTGGAGACTGGCCAGCTTGAATCAAGACACAGGAACGATACACGAATGCTCTTAGCTTTAAATTTGTGTGTCAAGGCCACAATCGGTGGGTTAAGCTAATTGTCAGATTCAGTCAGGAGGGAATTTCTCCTTCGGATTTGATCAGGAGGGGCTAGAAGCAGGGGGGAGTTTGTTTGTTTGGTTTGGTTTCCTTTTGTTTTGGAAAAGGGAACTAAGGAGAAGGCTAATTTTCTTCTCAAGTATCAGAAATCATCTTCTTCCTGTGATGGCTTGGGACTTTTATATCACACATTCCCTGCTAATGCAAATACCCACAATACTGGCAATGCCTTAAACTTTCTGCTGAAGAGCTAAACACTTAAAAATTACTGTTGATTGTAGCACTTAAGTCTGGTATACGGTGCTCAAAAGTGTCTGATGGCCCCTTTGCAGTGGAATCAAAGGTAGATATTCTTGTTCTTTCAAAAACTGCCTAGTTTCTCAGTTCATCCCTCAAAACATCTTCTTACCATTAGCTTGAGATTGTCACATTACTAGCAAATATCGAGAGCTCAAACAGCCATAGCCATCCTCCTATTTAGTACCATCTACTACCAAAGAAAAAATTACTGGCTCTCAATGTCCCTGAACACCATAATACAGCCTTATGCTCTTTGTAGGAAAACTCTTCCAGAGTAGATGTTGCACAGAGCAGGTAAAGATTTCCCTGCCCCAGACTCCCTCTGAAAGCTGCCAGAGGTGCCAGAGGCCCCTCTGAGGTGGATATAGAGATAAGGTTTTGTAGCACACACTTTTTTTAGGACATTCCTGGCAGGTGTGGATGATGAAGCAGCCTGTAAGCAGCTGTGATGAAAGCCGAATGGGAAATTATTGAACAGGTGAACAATTACTTATGGTCTAGTATCAAATATACCTGCAACCTGCACTTAGACCAGCCTTGAACAAAAAGAGCACAAGGGTGGCTTGAAGTTGTCTCTGTCTTTCTCCCGTGGACAACACATTCTTATGCTGGGTCATTCCAGGTGAAGCATTGAATTTTAAGCTCACATGCTTAGCTAATATCATACATCCCATTAAAAAGCTCTTTTGTAGAGCTCTGTTACAATTCTCAAAGTTTTCGTATTTCTTGGCTTGGAGGAAAAAGACTTCCCTTGTGCTTTGTGAGTTGCAAACTGGAATAGTTCTTCTTTCTAAAGTGTGACACTAAGCTATCCATCAGGGAATTTGTTTCAAGAAGGATTTAGTACTTTTCTTTGATAAGCTATAATTCATTTCCTGTATTGTGCTTGCAGATAACCTTGTCACCACCAGCAAAATAGTGAGCTAGAAAAACCATCACTGAAATGAAAACTGAAATAAGAAATAAAGAGCTGAGCCAAGACAGCGTAAAGCTTGGGACTCCAATGTCTATTCCTCACCATCTTAAGAAAATTAATCATTCCTTATCATATAAAAAAAATTCATTAAATGACCTAATGCTCCCCTAAAAATAAACCTCAGCTTCCAAACATATCTATCTCATTTACTCTCAAGCTTGTATATTTGATACTGAAACATACGGTAGACATAGCAGTACTCTCTTTAGTGAGAGCTAGTGGCTAGCAAAGGTATTTGTAAGAACAGGTAAGAAAAGAGACACTGCATCTCTACGTTCCTCAATTTAGTTCAAAGACACAGGATCCAAGCTGCAGAAGATATTTGTCCTGCAGCTGGATCCAGCTCAAACGTCCATGCTTGAGGAACAATGCTAGGGGGTTTAATACTCCCTGTTATCCAGTCGGTGAAAATGAAGCTTGCTTTATTTCTAGTGCTGTGCTCTTGAGGACGTGAATGTCTGCAATCCACCTCCTAGTTGGCAATTGTGCTTTTTTTTATTGTAGTCTAACATTCTGTTTCCATATTTTAATGCTACAGAAAACAGGATGCCACCAGGATTGAATGCATCCCACATGTTCCTATTTTGTTTTCATGTGAATTTGACCTCTGACACATAAAATTCCTGTCTTGTAGTGTGCACATATGTGAGCCATTTCTCAAAGTGGAGAGAACAGAGCTCTGATTCAGCTGAGTGGAACATTCTTATATAATGATACTCAAAGGAATTTAAAATTGACTAGTGTGTAAATTTATGAGTCTCTTTTATCAAACAAATGTTCTTTTTTAATATGCAAAATTGTTGCTGTTCTTTTTATACTCACTTTTTATGTGGAAGGGACAAGAGATAGCTAGTGGACTTATATTTTATTTAAAAAACAGGTGACTGTCCAATCTATGAACTAAGCTATGGGGGAAATCTTAAAATTCAGATGAATCTTTTCCCCCTGTGGTACCTTTCCTCCTAGGAAGCTATGTGGAGAGTGAGGATTCAAAACTTGGCATAAACAAACAGGACAAGAAAATTGCAGGGAGGAGGAAGAGCTGTTTGTGTTTTCAATTTTTTGTACTGTGTGCCCTCCACTATGTCTAGTCTGGATGCATGGAACTAAATCTCAGATGTGACTCTCTGTGCACTGCACACTTTGGTGCAACACTCCCAAATTGCAACAGCTACCACTGTTCACCTTTCATAGAATCAATATGCATTTTTCCCCCAAAATATTTAACTCTGGTTGGATTAACACACCAGTCTAGTTGCATCATGAAAAATAAACTTATTTTTTTCTAAAATAAAAATACATACTCATTTTATCAGCAGTTTTTAGTTCTGTTTTTTTTTTTTAATTTTCTGACAGATACTGTTAGGTAAGCAGTTCTCTGAGAGGCCAGATCTGATGTTCAATATTACACTGCAACACAATCAAACCTGTAGATCTGCACAAGTCTTTTCATACAAAATTTGACATAAGCATGATTTGGCCTAATTATATTATTTGTAAAGACAGCTACTTCTATAGTGTTCTCTGCACCAGAACTCTCTTTAGAGCAATATGCCACTTCTCCATATCCCATAGATATGGTGCGCTCTGAATCTGTTCCACAACTGGCATTAATGATTGGAAACCTCCACTTGATAAGCAGCCTCTAAGGCTATTAGCAAATAGTGCTACAGGTCCAACAGGAGTAAGTCTGCAGTTAGTGCAGATAGACCTAATGTTCACACTGTATGCAGTGTTAGATGTGTGGGAATGTACTTTGTCCCCGTTCTAATCTACTCCACCTCCACTTTGGTGGTAAAAGTGCATTAAGTGTACTCCCAGATTACACCTAGTTTAGCTTCATTTGAAGGAAATCCAGGTTGTGGGTTCTGAGACCTGTCAGACTTCTCCTCACTTCTGAAACCAAAGCACTGTAAATAGGGACAACTAGGAGAGTCCCGTAAACTGCACGTGCGATTCAGACTCAATTCAGACATGTGCAACTCATGCAGATCTCCCAAGCAGACTTTGGGTTTGCAACTGCATCTGTCTGAACCAGACTGCCTGCATATGCGGGACTATTGTTCATAAGGCTATGTAACACTTGGCTCCCAGCACCACAAGAAGCCTTCTTCTATTAACCTGAAAAGACAATTTCCTTTTCAGTCATATTTTTTCAACAATGTGATTTTTAGAATCAATCTAATCCTGACAATTTTTGTGACAATATAGCTGATTCTATGAAAATGTGGAAGATACTTTTAATTTACATGACAACACTAATCTGACCTGAAGTTCTCAGAAAATACATGATAATAATGATGCCAATTTATCAGCTCACCTTTGCCTAATCTTTTACTGGCTTCTTTAAAGGTAGGAGCTTTTGAGGATAAGAGTTTCTGTTATTAGATCTTCCATTGTACTATCTCCTATCATAAGTAAATCTGATAAAACAGTAAAAGTTTCCTGTCTTAGTTACAGTTAACTAGTTCATTTTTGTTCAGTCAAATCCTGGTTGAAGTGACATGCCTTATTGCCAAATTTATTATTAATCAGTAATGCTCAATTAACAGAATCACAGATCATAGTCTGTGTTTAACCACAAAGAAGATACTACCAATAAACCTCCTTTACTAATATCACAGACATGCTTCAGCCCACAGACCTGGAAGGATGGTAATGCTTCACATGCTCTTCATTGATGGAGAAGAGACTGACAAGTAAATGTCTCTGGGATATGATGTCTTTATAAAGCAATATACCAAAGTGGCTTCAACTGGCAATGATTTGCATCATGCAGAGGTGAAAGTGAAAATTGTAAGTATTGTAATAGCTAATAGATGATTTAATTAAATATATATGTCATTATGCCATGAGATAGAGTAGTTTAAGAATAACTGTGATAAGAAGACCAGATGGCTCCCCTTTTCTACTACCGAAATTAGTTAGATGAGGCTCCAAAGGAGTCAGAAGAAATGGCAGTTACAGAGAAGTAGAGAAATATTTTTAAAGTTCTTGGAAATGGATTCCTATTAGAAAACCACAAACTTTTATCTAAATTTTAATATTAGCTTAGAGGCAAAACTCCTGGAAAAAAGATAAAACTGATAAAGGAATTAGAAATACAACCTTGAAACACTTTCAAATTTTCTTAATAAAATAAAAAATAACTAAAGTTTTCTAAAGTTCTAATCAATATGTGACTTAAAAAGTCACACTGTAACTACTACAGTACATAAATCATTAAAAAACTTGGAGAAAAGAGACTTAAGACTAAAATCATATAAGAAATTGGTTTAAAATATCCCACAGACTGGTTTCATTTAATGATTTCCTCATTAGGTATGTGAAATAGGAAGCAGAGAGCCTGTTGCAAGAGAAAGCAAAATAAATATCACCCAAACACATTTTTTCCAAACAGAAAGAACTCTCAGCTCAGGTTCCTGGGACATGAGAATTCCCATTTAAAATAAACAAACAAAAAGAAGGTCTTAAAAATATATCCAAACAAAACAAAACAAAACTGAAAGCCATTCATCCCTAGAATAACCAATAGCTTGGCAATAGATATCTGAGAAACCTGGTTTTGTGCTCCTATTCTGAATTACAATTTATCAATACAAGACATTTCACACAAAGTAATGGAAGGACTGGCATGTGACTCAGTTATTGAAGAACTAAAAGTAATTTCATTGATGCCATTCAATACAGACTTACAGAGAATAGATATTGCTAAATTAATTAGATTTTTAATACAAGATTATATGTTTATGAAATAAAGGTATTAGCCTTCATTTAATACAGTCTTAGAAGGCATTTCTTTTGGTACTACAGAAGACTACTTCATTAAAACCCTAGAATACTGCACAAAATTATTGAGGCAGGTATTAAAAAAATAAAAATATAGCTAACTGGTCTCAAAATATAGTAATAAACAGCAAATAATCTGTAACTACATCTAATTTTAGTGGGATTTTGAAGGGAACTTTTTTTACCATGTATTATTTACCATTTTTCTCAATAGCCAGGAAAAAGCATGAAATTATCTCAGATGACATTTAAAGGACATTAAGAATGGTTCAATTGTTCATCTGGAAAGAAGTAAACGATCTGACTTTCAATACAGTAAATGTTATGACTACAAAATGTCTAGGGACATCTTGCTTTATGTCTGTATGTATAATTTAACATACACAGAGCAGTGTTTCCAAGAAAAGAAATATGAAGTCATGTCAGGTCATCAGATAAGATGATCTCTCACTCTGGTGCCACGGCTGAAAGAATACAGACCCCAGAAACTTAAATTAGAATGTCAATAGGCATATACAGGTTTTATTACTTTTGCATAAAGACTGATACTGGAATATCTCATCCCTTTCTACTGTTCAAGGAGGGAACTGATAAAATGACAGGGTTTTAGAGAAGATCCATGAAAATTATTGAGGGGAGGGGAAAAAAAATCTCTATAACAAGACAAATTGCTCAGTCTAAGTAGCTACTTGAATAAAAAATGGTGGAGCAAATTTTTAAGTCAGCAGATAGAAGATACAATAAGATCAAATATAAAGAAATTAGAGTTAAATAAATCCAAAATGAGAATAAAAGATTATTTTTTAACTGAAAGGAAACCACTAGAATAGTTGCAGTGAAGTTTCTCATAACTGTCATTTTTTAAAACAAGGTTTATGGCTATGTTTCTGAAAAGTATCATATAAAAATCAATTTAAGGACATCCTAGTGCCTGGCTTATATAAGAGATCAAAAAGCAGATCTCAGGTCCCTTTTGCTCTTAACATCATGACTCCATGTAGTTGCTGGGACAGGCAACTTTTCAGGTGCATAATACTCTGCTGGCATTGGATTCTGATTTCTACATGAAAACTCCAGCACCTAGAAACATCTTAGGTCTTTTGGTCTATAGCAAATCTTTACATTTGCATGAAATCTGGGGATAAAGCAAGAACTGGTTTGCATCTAACATGGCAGAAAAGTTTATTGCAGGCTTTTGTTCTGACTGTCATGGAAAGCAGGAGATGAGATTGCAGCATTTTGTCATATATATGGCATCCTAATCTAATTCATTTGGTTTTGGAGATGCTTGTCTACCATGTCTACTGTACTGCCATTGTACTAGTACCTTTGGTCCAGGGTCTCCCACACCTCTTGGGCCTGCTGGTCCTGGAGGCCCTGTTGGTCCTGGAGGTCCCTGGTACATCAGATGAATAAAAAAGCACGTTAGTAGTTGGCCTAAAGCAGTAGTACCTCTGTTCTTCCACAAAAAAGAGAGTTACAGAACTAGTCAGGAATCCCTCCATTTCAAGTGTATTTTGTCAAAATTCTTGATATGACAGATGTGTACTGAGCAGTGTTCATCCTCAGTCACAGGTGGAAACCTGAAAGACTACCAAACTGTAGAAGAAAAATCCAGCTCTTGATTTAATAACATTAGAACTGTTCTTAACTCAGATAAAGCAGTCAGAAAGCAGGCATTGCTTCATGATTCATGCATTGCAGCCATTACACGTTGTCTCTGGTATCCCAGATGTCACCCGTCCAAATTTGGGGGTCACGTCAGAACCAACACATTTTGGTATATTTGTGTTCAACAGTTTGTTCTGTTGAACTCCCGAGTCAGTCCCTCAGGACCAACTCAACTGCCCTTCATACTGCTTAGAAGCATCCTTACCTTCATACAAACCAGCCTGCTTCAAAGCATGCTTTTTATTGGTCAGGTAATTCTTGAACTTACTGAAATAGAATTGTCGCCTATATCTTGTTTTTGTACATTCCTCCATCCAGTCCTCGCACTTTAGTTCAATTGACTCTGTAGTTCTGAGAAACCTTACCCAATTTCTCCAGCACCTTGCCCTAACCAGTTTCTCTAAAAGTTTAATTTTGTTAGATCATTTATTTTTCTTCTCAGAACCTAGTTCCTACTTACTATTCTTAAGAGGAACGGTCAGGTGCTTTCCCACTCCTAGAAGGGAACTGTTTGCACAGCTACTACCATAAAAGCCAGGGAAGCCAGTGTCAGGAAGTTCTAGCAACTCTCTTTACAAGACATGGGACAGAAGTAGGTGCTGCATTGTTGTAAAGGAAGTATTCTGTTTTTCCCTTAACCATTAGAGGCCAAGCAAGCATGTATGGAGTGGAATGGAGAATATCATGAGCAGCCCTGAGAAAATGAAAATTGGATAAGAAGCAGCTTTTTAAAAATGAATATATTGATACAAACTCATCTACAAGTAATCAATGCTCAGTTATAGCAATGATCACATGTTCTGCCTGATATAGTCCTTCTGGGCTTCCCTCAGCACTTGGTCCTCCTCATGGTCAGGAACACACTGGTCAGTTATCACTGGCTGTGTTACCTGGGCAGCATCTGCTGTCCCCACCCTCTAGTCAGGTGTTTTTCCTGTCTGTCACGGACACTGTGGAGGACACAGCAGGAAATAAAAATCTTGAGAAAGAACCAGATGTCTGTGCTGGGCCTGAGTGGTACTCTCCACCTATCTTCAGCTGACCAGAATGTACCTCTGCAGTCATCCTATAGGAGATAACTGAATTCAGAGGCTGCAGATAAGATTTAGGCTAATGTTGCCTCTATTACCCTTACCATGAAGCCCCTGGAGCAGGTAGCTGAACAAAGGAGGTCTCACCATTTCATTTCCCTCTCAGTTGGGTTGTTATTCCACAATACACCGGAAGAGGCAGATGGCTGGTTATGTGACACATTCTAGAATACATGGTTGTACTAGCTGTCGTTCAGGATCAGAATATGAATTGATGCTAATATCTAAGTTGTCAGACATGTTTGAGTGGATGACTGAGATTTAGGCTGAGTGCTGATAAACCCTTGTAATGGAATTTGCCAGCTGGAGTGCTCAGGCTTTTATTAGCTCAGGAGCTAACCATTATAAAAAAAAAGAGGGACAAGTCTCCAAAAAAGAGGATGTGACCCCCAGGACAAAAAGCAGCTGAGAAACCAGGAAGTGAAGGCTCCAGATTTGGCGAAGCAGATTTATTAGAGATCTTGAAGAGAGAACGGCAAAAAAGAAGTAGGGGGAGGAAGATTCAAAGAAGCAGTGATTAGATTAAACACATGAGCAAGGAGACCATGAAGATGCTGATGGAAGTACAAGGTATCCCTTCTGTAATGCTGAAATGGAAGCAGTCCAATTTATGTCCAGTTTTCATTGCCTGTAGAGCTAACACTGTCATTAGGACAGAAAAGGGCTTCAAAATTTATATGAGATACTTAAGTTAGCTAAAGGAGGAAAGAGAAGCTTAAATGCACTTAGTTATCTCAAAGTAACAATGACCACTAAAAAAATAAATATTAAGTTATCACATAGCGATTCATTTGTTGTGGGACTCAAAGCAGAGGATCTAACTACCAGCAAGGAAAAGTATAGAATTAAAATTATACTTACAGCTTCACCTTTGTGGCCATCTCCTTTTGCTCCACGTGGTCCAGGTAGTCCAGGCAGCCCCTGATTACCCTAAATAGAAAATAATCAGTCAGGCATTGTGCCAATAACTGAATCATCTGCTATTACTATTATGTTGCCAGCTCTTACAATTTGTTTGCAAAGCTCAGAAATGTTTAAGATTTTGTAATGCAGTTTTAGTTGCTAAAATCAAGATTTCAGAAGAATATGAGGTCTTATGAAGCAATGACTAATTTCTAGATTTGTAGCTGCAGGGAGAAATTTTCAGAACATTGACAACTTTAGTCAATTAATAGTTCCTATTGAAGGATTTTTTAAAAGTTATTTTAGTTTAAAGTTATTTAGTTTAAAGTTTAATTTAGTTATTTAATTTCAATTTATTCTAGTTGAACTTTTTTTAAAGTTACTTTATGAATTTGAGGAACAACAGTTCTGATTTTTGAACAGTGAATTTAGCAATACTGACATGATATGCCAGCCTTAAGTTATCTTGAATTACGTTGCACATTTTGCATTTTAGAGAAATCACACTGGTTCTTTCATACAGCAAAGCAAAATAGCATTCTACACAGGAGAGAAAGAAAAGAAAGAATTATAAAATATTATAAGAAACACAAAATTTCTCTTAGTTTAGGCTAATATGCTTTGTATCAGGAAGTACCATTACTGCTTATGTTGACTCTTCCACTGACTCCTACTAAGAATTCTGCACATTTGAAAAAACTCAATGTTTCCTTTCTTTACAAAAAGGAAAGCAAATATCAATCTTCTCTTCCCTGACTTCATTCCCAATTTTCCTAACATTTAATGAGCAAATTAACAGAGTTTGCAATAAACTGTTCCTTGCAAAAACAAGCAAGTAAGTTCCCTCTGTGACAGTACTGCCAATCAGAAATCCTTATTGATACTTGTAGGTCACACATCCACCCCACTCCTAAGCACGATACGTGTACAGCCATACAGGGAGCAGTGCCTGCTCTTCTCTCAGTCCTAGAGTGCCAGGAAATGTAAATGGGCTCTAAAAGAAAGTGTTGGAGGGTCAGTTGTTAATGTACATACAGATAACACATCTTGAAAAATGCATGGAAATAGCACTCCTTTCTCCTACCTATTCCTGCAAAAATAAGTATCTAGAAAAAAGAAATTACAACTGATTGGACAATGGAGGACTACTGTTTCACAAGTACATTGTGCCTGGAAGCTTCATCAACAGCATAATGCTTCAAGAAACTATGAATGGAGCCCTAATAGCAGCTCCAGTCTCAGGGACTGATCTGTCTGAGTCCAGTGTCCATGACTGGAAAACAAACTAACAAATTCTATAATTAGATATCCAATAAAATCAGTGTCCAAAGACATCCAAATGTCTTTAAACCTCTCTAGCATAGACACATGCAAACAGCTCTTCCTAAACAATTTAGCCCTGTCAAATAAAAATAAAACAGTTGCTTTGACTTTCCTCAAGGTATACAAAGCAGGTTAACTCAGGAGGGACATGAATGAAGAGCAACAAAGGAAAGTCAATATTCTGGTTAAGATGAAACTCTGAAACCATTTTCAAAAGGAATTTGGGATAGGGATGCATGCTTTATACTTAAAGAAAACTACATGGTAGTTCAATCATAACAGTATGAATCTCTCCTATTCTCCCGTCCAGATTTAACCAGCAAGTACACTTCTAGTCCATAAATAGCTTTGCAATAGAAGGCCAATTTTACCTTTTCTTCATACTACATAGTTCTAAAATTTTGGATAAAGTGATAACTGTTTTTTAAAAAATATTTAGTAGCATTTTTTTTAACTATACAGGAAATCATGAATTCATCTCTATTTTTACCTCAAATTTTAGTGCAGTAAAGAACTGCCAAACAGATGTTTTCAGTCTTAGCAGATGACTGTAAACACCAAATACATGTTAACACATCCTCTTCTACAAGAATTGGCTGGTTTTGTCATTAGTAATGCAGTTATAAATCCACTCAAGATTATGTTCCAAATCTGCAATAAATCATAGTTCTCTAGCCCAGATTATTTAGTTTCAATTTGTTTACAGTTGCATCCAAAGCATAAAAGAGATGGTTTGGGAATGCTTCTATGATTACTGCCTCCCATGGTTTTGTGGGGTCTAGGTAACACAACCAGAATGACTCACTGCAAGTCAACAAGGTAAGTGCCATTGTTGTCACTGATGGTATGCTGAATTCACTCCTCTATACTGCCATCCTTTCCAGGGCAGATTTTTAAAAGTGATTTCCTGAAGCTGTAATAGTGGGGGGGACAGTTTCTTCTCCACTCTTGAAAAAATAAAATAAAAGAACATATATATAAGTCTCATGTCCATGGTTTTCACTTGCTCTAGACATCCGCATGCGTAAATAAGCGGGAAAAGTTTCAAAACACTTGGACATGGGATTTTGCATATCCAGCAAGAAGAACTGGACACATTCACTGTTGAGAAAAAACTTAACATAACTGGCGTAATCAAAACCTGAATTGTTATGTATGTAACGGGACAACTAGGTCATGTTTATTGCTTCTTTTTATAGGACGTGAAGTAACATTCCAGATTATAGACAACATAAGTCATTATAGACTTGCTGAAAAATCTAAACCATAAGCTATTGAATGCATGTGGATCAACGTGCTATCCAGCACCATCACAAAAGCGTACTGGTAGAACTCTGTTAATTCAGGGATAAAACATAGTTGGTATTCCTAAGACATTATTACACAAAAGGTTTTCCGTCGAATAGCTTTATCTTGAGCTGTATTATGTTAGGTATGCACAAACTGGTTAGTCTCTGCATTTGGGTCCATGAGCTATATTCTCAAAGTGATACAGTGGAATTATAATGCCCACATTTGTATAAATTTGAAACATTTTATGTGCATATAAGGTACATGTAGAAAAAAGAGGTTTGTTGAGAAGTTCCATGGTCCCCACCTGGGAAGGTGATCATAAGAACATCATCTGTCCCCAAATACTCAAAGAAGCTTTTCTAAATTATTCCCTAGTCGCAAGTGGCAGAAGGCTTGTGGAAAGTTTCAGTCCAGATTATGACTCATAGAAGTACAATATGATATTATAAAATGCATTTCAGGGGAAAAGGTTAAAGCTTTGAATTAAAAGGAAATATATACATTTTTTACAGTGGAGGACATGGGCTCTGTTCTAGGGACTGGACTGTTCAGAGTGTTCAGAAATAATATAGAAAGGTAAATAGTGGGTGGTAACATTTTCTTTTTAATTAATTTGAATAACATGGCATCATTAGAAAAGCAGTTTCAAGCAGTTGAGAAAAAGCCTGAAGTACTGGGTAACTGGCAGACAAAATTCAATGCTGATAACTAATGCAGAATGCATGGAGCAAAAGCAGTCATAACTTTATGTACCTAATAGAGATCTTGAACTACTATTATTATTTCAGAATAGGAGAGGGTTAGAACAGTTCTATGATAAGGGCACCTCACTGTTCAGTAGTGATCAAAAAAGTAAACTGGGAATTGCTATAAAAGTATAGTAAACAAAACAGAAAATGTCACTACACCACTGTATAAATCCATAAGCATGTGCAGTGGATCATATGAGCAGAAAGCAACACGTTACACTTAACTGTGATAAATCCATTCTTAATTTTTCTTTGTAACAGGATTGATGTTAATCAAGTAGTTTTAATAGTCATAGCTAATGCACCTTAATGAATGCTACCTGTAAGATAGTGGGAACTGTTCGCCATAATATAATAGCCACTTATTAAGGCAATCATCCCATAGACTGTGTTTGAGACCAAACTAATGTTCTCTCATTTTACCTCATTAATCAGTCAATAACAACTTTGGGAGGGGAACTTTGCAGTATCATATCAAAACCTTTCATCCTTTAACTTGTAAACTAATATAGAATCAGAGAATGGTTGAGGTTGGAAGGGACCTCTGGAGATCATCTAGTCCAACCCCCTTGCTCCAGCAGAGTCCCCTAGAGCACATTGCCCAGGATCACATCCAGACGGGTTTTGAATATCTCCAGGGAAGGAGACTCCACTACCTCTCTGGGCAACCTGTTCCACTTCTCTGTCACTCTCAAAGTAAAGAAGTTTTTCCTCATATTCAGACGGAACTTCCTGTGGCTCAGTTTGTGCCTCTTGTCCTGTCACTGGGCACCACAGAGGAAGAGTCTGGCCCCATCCTCTGGACACCCTCCCTTCAGATACTTGTACACATTGATGAGATCCCCTCTCAGTCTTCTCTTCTCCAGGCTGAACAGGCCCCGCTCTCTCAGCCTTTCCTCATATGAGGGATGCTCCAGTCCCTTCATCATCTTTGTAGCCCTTTGCTGGACTCACTCCAGGAGATCCATGTCTCTCTTGTATACTGGAAAGCGCAGAACTGGACCCAGTACTCCAGGTGAGGCCTCAGCAGGGCTGAGGAGAGGGGCAGGATCACCTCCCTCGACCTGCTGGCAGCACTCTGCCTAATGCACCCCAGGATCCCATTGGCCTTCTTGGCCACAAGGGCACATGGCTGCCTCATGGTTAACTTGTTGTCCACCAGCACTCCCAGGTCCTTCTCGGCAGAGCTGCTTTCCAGCAGGTCAACCCCCAGCCTGTACTGGTGCCTGGGATTATTCCTGCCTAGGGGCAGGACCCTGCACCTGCCTTTGTTAAACTTCATGAGGTTCCTCTCCGCCCAGCCCTCCAGCCTGCCCAGGTCCCTCTGAATGGCAGCACACGC